TGAGGCTACGAACTTTCACCCTCACCCTGGATACCTAGATATTTAGAGATTTGACTCTTGAAAGATATACTGAACAGTTACCGTTACTTGTAACTGGTCGTTACCGTTACTTGTACGGTAACTGCTTATCCGTTACCATTACCAGGAACGGTAACTGTTCAGCAGTTACCGTTACTGAGTAACGGTGGTAACGGTAACTGGTAACTGTCACAGCCCTAAGTAGCACAAAACCTGTTGTTTAGATAATTTAATGAAATGGAACATTTCCTAAAAAATTCTCTCAGGACTTGTTTGATAACTTCTTTCAAAGCATCTAAAAGTTTTTAATATTGGCAGAAGAAAGGGTACATTCTCATAAGAGACACGGGCCATCGAACATGTTAAAAAAATTTTAATTTTAATATTCGAATTTTCAGCAAGATTAGTTAACTAAGCAGTTTTACTCAAAATGCTTCTTAATAAAATAATATTACCTTTTTGGTTTATCTACGACAATAAATTCGATAAATTATTGATAAAAAAAAGAAAATTCCTGTGTTTCGTTTATCATTAATAAAAATATGTGGAAACAACAAATCAAATTCCAGATGATGGTATTTTTCTGTAAAGAGCAATGTATAAATGAACAATTGAAAATTCTCTTTTCTTTATGAGAAATGTCAGAAGACGACTATAGTCGATTAACAAAATCATCTTTGATTATTTATCGTGTTTGATCAATTGTATCTCTCATTATTGGTATAATTGGTAATTCAATGTCATTGTTTGTTGTCATTAAATGGTCAAAAAAATATTCAGCCTATTGTTATTTAAGTTTATTATGTATTATAAATATAATTATTTTATCATTTGATCTTAACTTTAATTATCTTCTACCATCTTATTTAAATTATTTATTAACGGAAAAATCTATAACACTTTGTCGTATGGTATATTTTCTAATCTATTTTTTTCGATATATATTCATATGGCTTATTGTATTTCTAAACATTGATCGTCTACTGTTTATAATAGGATCTAAATTAAAATATCAATTTTGTCGATTTCACATAGCATTGTATATTTTTTGTGCACTTATTCTTCTTTCCTTCTTATTTAATAAATACATTTTTTTCTTCTATTTATGGCAACCACAACAAATTTTATCGAGTTCTGATTGTCTATTAAATGAACAACATCATCATTGTATATTGAACAGAATAGTTCTCTTCATATTTTCACTTAAAAATACGGCCAATTTTTAATGTTTGCATATTCGCTATTACACCTTTTACAATTATGACCATCTGTACTACTACTACTAGAAAAAATTACTAGTTAAAACATATACGAAAATTATCAAATAACAGCACACTGGAATAAATCTTCTCATTCTTTATCCAAGAGACGTGTTCTGCGTTTCTGTCATTTAAAATCTGTTACATTGACATTAATAGTCTACGCTATTATACGGGAGCAAAATTTCGTTTAAAAATACATCAAATATTCGATAAACGATCAACTTTACAAATTGAACAAAAACAGTTCAATTTTAATGACAGACCGGTATAGAAAATAGCAGTCAAAGAAAAATTATAACCAATCAACCGACAGTATCAATTAGAATTAACCTAATGCATTGATTTTCGAACGCTGAATTTTACATATCATTTTTCGTCACGTGTACGAAATGTATTTTTGTTAAAAAATGAAAACATGTAAAACATTGAAATTGTTAATAATTTTTCTAAATTTCAAACAGGAACGATAGTGACCAGATTTTTCGGGTATGATTGACTTTTTACTTTTATTGTAGAGGAATGAAGTATCACTTGAATCTTTTACAGTTTAAGTAATTCTTTTTTCGTAAGTTATAGATCATCCAAACTTTCAAACGTTGGAAAAACTAAAAATCGATAGTGTGGATTGTTCGGTCTAAGGCTCAGACTTGCTATCGGATGGTCGGCATAAACAGGCCTAAATACCATGGCCAGTACACAAAGTCAGACATATTCGATATAGATGAGAATCGGAGTCAGATCAGAAGAAAACATATTTGAATCTAGACATAAGGATCAAATACGATCATTGAAAATGTTTTATATGATTTTTTTAAATTCCATTCAAGCTCAAAGTGTTTCACGTTAATTTTAACTTTTTTTTTGATTAATTTTAAGAACTATAGCATCTATGTCTATTTATGTCAACTATTAGATAGTTAGCCTGACCTGGATCACTATCGTTTTGTCGAACATTAAAAATATCGCTATCAAACTACTTAAAAAAAAGTTTTAGATTACAAATAAATGTTATTCAAGAAAAAAAAAGACAAGAAATATCGTTATAACACAGACTTAAATGGAAAGATAGGTGGCTAATCATATAAAGTTTACACTAATCAAATAGCTTATTCCTTTTTGTTTGTAACGACCAACGGGCCAACATTATCTCCCGTATCTTTATTATGTTGATTATGTGTTCCATCGCAAAGTGGAAACTAAACGAGAAAAATAAATACTCAGTAAAATAAGTTGAAAAAAATAATCACTGCTCTTCGAAATTGAATATTTCTATTCTTTCCTACATTCCGCATGTATTTTGTACAAAAATTTTGATGATCAGATTAAAATGCGAAATATTTCATCCGAGTAGATAGATCTTTTTGTTGAAGATCGATCATCCTTATGCGGAGAATGGTTGTAAGAGGAGACAAAATCCAAAATTTTTTATTGTACAGTGAATATGTGCTATCTGTAGTTAACAAAATATTACCTTTTTTGATTTCCAACATCGACAGTATGAGACAGATTTATTTTGAGCTTTATCACATTCTGGTTGAATATCCTTTATATCATAAACATGAACTACTTTATCTTTATCTTTTGATAATGACTGATTCACTTGTGGCTCTTTTTCAATTTTTTTAATCTGATCATCTTCGTCTTCGGGAAGTAATGCTTGAAAAGTTAGATATATTAACAATAAGACAGTGGTAACAAATGGAACCAGTTGTAAATAATCACGAGCTAAATGAGCACACACACACATAGTTTTAGATGCGTACTAAAAAGATGAAATAATTTACGAACCAGTTAATTTTGCATAACCAGCTGAATTTTCTGGAATTGGCAAGCTTTTCAAATAAGCGGGTAATGCTGTACGAATAAAATAACTGAGAGCATCCATGAGATTGAAAATAAATTGAACAATAGTCTGAAAAGTAAAGCATAAGTGAACGATAATTAAGGCTAGCACGGACTTAATCTGGAAATTGATTAGGCTAGAAAGAGAATTTTTATTAACTAAAAAGTTTTCTCAAGACTCTTTCTTTATTGAAATGTCAGATGAGATAAGATAATATTTCTTAGATACGATACTTCTACAATTGTTCCTGCGAAAGACTACTCACCAACTAGAATTATATCATTTTCTTTATTAACCGATTGCAAAAAAATGAAAACATCTTTCGAATTCATCATTATAAATAATGTCGGTATATAGCTAACTACATGAAGTTGAAAATCCCACTTTATCAGATGTTCACGCAAATCACCCATCGATAATCCATTTTAGATGAACAAAATCTTCTTTTTTGATCGATGCAATAGGAGAATCGCTTTAATATTTTATCGGAATACCTGTCGTGCTCTCAATCCGCTACCTCAATAAGGTATGAAAATCCATCAAAAATTCTACTAGATCACCTTGTTAGACAATAGTCTGCTCTATTCAAGAAGTTTGCTCTGACACCGTCCTGCTATAATGCGTACACTCAAGAAAGGAAGCACAGATCAAAAATCTTCACAATTTTGCCATTTAAAACTTTGTTGGGAGTCATTTAACGGCGCTTTTTGTTGCAAAAACAAGGACATTTATTTATAGCTCCTAAAGAACATTTAAGACCATGTTCAGGCTACAAAAGTTAAAGCGCATTAACGACTCTGACTGGGCAATAAAACGTTAACCCGTCACGACATGACGTAAGTTGGAATTAAGGATACCAACTGACTCTGCCAATTGAATAAGGCCTATTCATTTGATTGTGGTACTATACTGACAGCCTTTGATATTTGTATTACCAATTGATTGGTTGAAAGTATAAAATTTAAACGTAAATTGAACAGGATTTTATTTCGTGTTTCCATTTTTTTATGCTTTGTTACAGTTATAGCGATATCCACTATTTGTTAGTTTAAAAGTCGCTTTTCACTCAGTAGACTAGGGACCTCTAACTTTTGAATATCGAATATCTCTTTAACTATAATTGAGCATAAAAAAATGTAGATAAGAAACGAGATCTGATTTAAATCTTGTTCAAACTTGAACCTCCCATCGAATGAATTGGTGACACAAAAAACTGGAAACGGCTGTAAATAAAATGAGGTCATGGGAAGCTAAAATCACTTTCTAAAAATTTACCATTACCCTTCTAAAATCTCTTATGATTTACAGTAGCATCCACGATTTTCGATCAGTCAGAAGCAGTCCATGATTTATCGTCCAGCAGATCTATCGTGACGTAGAGACTAAAGTTAGAAAATGTTCAATGGTGAAAAGTGATTGATTTTAGAACGAAGTGATTTTAGCTTCCCGTGACCATAAAATGATTGGCCTTTGTTTGCAACAATTTTTTCGCTTGGCTGCACATACCATGCATGATTGAACAAGGTAATACATTAAAGATTGACCAATCAAAAGGCGACAATTCATAATAGTTGCGAATGTGAGAAGAATCGTCTTCTGTTTCCAACAAAATAAAAATTCGCACGCTTGCGGTTCTCAATAATCAAATAAGATAGTTTATTCGATGTTTTCCTAAGCAAAACCCTTTTCCGAAACCATTCGGAAGATCGGTTTTTTGGGAGATATTTGCAAAACCAGTTCAGATCTCCGAAACTGAAATAGCAATCTATCAGTTTTTTTCCATAGATAGATAGTCCCAAGTGTCCACTCCAAAATGAGAACTAAGCGAACTCTTAATTTTTTCTGGTTCATGCGTGGCATCGTTTTTCCTGAGAATCCCAAGGTCAATATTTCCTTAAGTGTGGTAATTTGGAAAACGAATCGTTACATAGGTAACCGACCACGCTGATTCTCGTGGCAATAAAAAGGTTTCAAAACCTATATTAGGTGGCATAATCCATTTTTGTCTAGTTTTGAGTAAAATTAAAAAGTTCATAGTCCAGTCAAGAGCCATCCAAATTATGTTAGAATATCAAGATATACTCTGCAGTTCAATAAAGAAAATCTCTACCAAGATACAGTTTAAATCTCATCTGTTAATTTGAGCGTCCGATGTGTTTTATATATTCTTCTGATTAATTGCGTATTATATAGATAGAACTTTAAATAAAAGTCAATTTTATTTCATGCTTTATTTGAATTTCAACCCATGAAATGAAAGGATATCAGCTAAACTCAGTCCTACCATTTAGTCCTAGCGTATCTTTACTGTACAAAAAAAATCACATAAAATCCGTCGTAAAGTCACATTAAAAATGTTGTTTTTTTCGGGATGTCATACTTTTACCTTTGACTTCAACTTCTTTAACGTTGAAGAAAATGGCTTTATTATGAGAACAGGAAAAAATATTACTTTCACGTTTTTATCGTCAACTTTTGCAGTCACATATTTTCCGTTTCAAACCACAGATATTCAGCGTCATCACAATGCTAGACAGCGTTTCTAATGATTGGTCACCCCTGCGAAAACAAAGTAATTTTCCACTTTGTATAGATCATAGATAAATTGCTTTAGAAAACAAAAGAAATAATAGGGCTATTTCGTAGGCTCCAATTAATGGGCTTTTTATAATACTCTTACATATACGTTTTGTGAAACTCCTTCAGTATCTCCAAGTAGTATAGTCTACAAAGTTCATGTGCATTGTATTACACATTTCATTCTTTTTCTACGACCCATTCTTTTTACTTAACTATTTATAACCCGAGTATAGTTTTAACTCTACTCTAATTAGAAGTTTCAAACCGAATCATAACCATTTTAAATTTTCGACCAAGACCCAAAAAGATTATACATTTTGAAATGGTCTTGAATTGTTTTTCAAATAGCCAGATTGATACCATGCGTATCTAATCATAATAATCAGTGCTGAATATTTTAGATGTTAATTGACTATATACAAGAGAATTCAATTTAATTATATTATTTCTTTGTGCTAAATTAATATCAATTTCATCTAAACGTAGACAATTATATCTTTCATTTTTTTCTTTTCTTTCTTTTCATCGACGTGCAAACAAACTGAACGGCTGAAATTTCTTTGATACTGAGAGACTATTAGCAGAGTAATCTGGCCTCCGATTGCGATTTTCTGAAAAAAAAGGAATGAAAGAGGATTCGAAATTTTTTTCAAAGAGAATTTGAAGTAAAAAATGAGGAATATATTTTTCAGCCCGAAAATTGCTGTGACACGTCATTTCGAGTCAAAATCCAACTTATCGAGCATCAAGTGTCTGTATCAAATTGTCGTTCTACTGAAAAATTGAAGTTTTCCGCCAAAAATCAATATAAAAAAAAGAGTTAACTCGATGACTCAAGGAATGAAAGAACAGCTACTTGTTTCCAGCGAAATAAGTTCAGTTTATAACACAGAGAATCTACCTCTGTATATTCGCAACATCTACAAAGAAAATTATATAGGGACGAAGGTAGTCGACCATTCTTTTGTGTCAGTTTCAGAGCTGGGCAGCTCCGGAGCCGAGCCGGAGAAAGTGTTGAGTTCAGAGCTGGTGCGGATGATGATGTGCGCGTTCGGTGGAGGTAAAAATGATATTCTTACGGCAGATAGTTATATGAGTGTGTACGCTGATGGCACGTTAATATATGCTGCCTCAGTCTTGACCTTCTTCTATTAAATGTAACGCCTTCGAAAGAAGATTTTTTATGTATATATCATGCAGTTATAGAGTATATTTGTACTTCAAAACGATTTTCATTCTCATATTTTTTCTTACTTGAAAGCCTAGGGAATTCAATCGAAAGAAAACAAGGAAAGATGAACATCTTTTGGGGCCGGAGTCGGAGCCGGTCTGCCCAGCTTTGGTCAGTTTCCATGCAATTTCTTTAACGATTTCGGTTACTTTGCACCGTTCGTAGTAAAATAATATTCAGATTTGCTAATATTATTCACACTTCTGGATAACATGAAATGTCGAACACATGAAGAACGATAAATGTAAGTGCCGCTATACAGAAAACACACCTCATAATCGTTTTGATTTATTGTTAGGCTAGGTATTTTTCTTTTCGATGACGAGCAGAGAGTCTTTTATTATATCAAAGCAGGCATCAAGCGGTAAGTGTTGTTCACACCAAACTAAGCGTTTGTTATATGTGTGAGGCATAGGAATTTGTTCTTCTGTTTGTCAAATGTGTTCAAAAGATAATTTCTATTTATTTTTTCTCATTTCTTTTAAAAGGTAATTTCTATTTATTTTTTTCAGATTTTGCTGCTATTCTTTAATATTCTTAGAAAAAAGAGGAAACAGAGGATGAATCGGAAGCCAGAGAGTAATGAAAAAAATCTAAGCTGTTAATTCGCTGTTTTTATCGAGATACGAATTTTTGATGTGACTGTGTTTTTTTGTTTTACAGTTTTCTATGAAAAAAATTCATAACTTTTGAAAAAAAAGCCTTGGATCCAAATCCTTTTGACTTTTTAATAGAACAATACCCTCTATCGAATCGACAATTGACAGAGAAACTATCGAAAAAAGCTAGTCAAAATGGCAACAGCAAACGTTGAAGTACATTAAAAACAATTTTATCTCCGGTCTTTCCTGTTTCATACATAACTAAATTTTGATTTGATTGATTCTTTGTCTTAATTCTGTTAATTTGTTGTTTTTTTCAAAATTTGTTATTCAGAGTGAGAATAATAATAAAAAGAGAAGCAAAACAGAAATGAACTGAACATCTCGATAAAATGATTGGACTCTATAATCAAAACCGATCAGTTTCAACCGGAGCGAGTTTTTGATGTGGAATTTTTTGTACTTCAACATTCATTGTCCTTTTATGTATTTGTTCACAGTATTGTTATCATTCTAAATATTGAACAAGAGAGTCCAGAACTAGTAAATCTATTAAACTAAATTTTCTAAACTATCTTTGTACAATAAAAATTAAAATTAGTGTAAATAAAATATATTTAGTAAACTTACAAAAAGAACTATTGAAAAACAACAACGATTGAAATATTTTTGATTTTTAAAGGTTCATGATACAAGAACAAAAATTACACTTTTAAGTTATTAACATTTAAAAGAGCATGCAGATTGTACACAATTACCAAGCAGTAATACATCTATAGTCTGCTTTATCGCTTTTCCAGTAAAACAGAAATAAATAAAACTAACACGTCCTATCGCAACTGAAGGTTGCTAATTACTACCGCTGCGATTCTACTCTGTAGTTGGCAGCTAAAATTAAAAAAAAGAAGTAACAATAAACGTTTGATCATTATTAATAAGAATGTTTATTGAATGGATATCTTTTCTAGGTTTGATACCATATTTTCTATGAGAATAATCGCTTAAACAATAATTAAGAGTCTTCAAATCGAATATCGTAGGCTTTAGTAACTGCCAGTGAATCAATATATATGAACTATGCAATTCGACTTGATACAGTTTTAATTTCGTTTAGTTTTACAACCACTTTTTTAGTTACTAGAGACTGAAACAGAACTGATTTCTGAAAGAATCAAAAGAAGATACTACGGCCGGTTTCGACTTTTCTTAAGGGTCTCGTCACACGGTGGGCATACAGGCGGATATTTAGCCAAAAATTAAAAGTGAGCTTTTTATTGATTTGAATAGTTTCAAATGTACACCGTTTAACACGCTATCGAATGGCACAAAAAGTTTTTGGCCTACGTGCTTTCCTTGTTGAAAAATTTAAGTGACAAATTCACCATAAGAGTTAGCATCCTTTCTCAAAAAACCAAATTTCTATCGAATGCTTCTGGGTTGTTTCAAAGAAAAGTAGATGTTCATAATCCGGAGCATTTTCTCTTAGATATCGTGAAAAAACTATTCAGTTCCAACGTTTAGTTTTTGAATTATAGTCTGTTCTTTCGATTGAATAGTAGTGGTCGAGCGATGCTTCTGTTGTAATGGGGTATGCACCTACATCCACCTTCGGAGACCACTCAAAAGTAAATCAAAGTACTCCTTGCCGTTTCCTGCATCTGCACGGCATGCGGTTTTTTGTCTGGCCTTACTTATAGGTTTTCCAGATAAAATGCTGTTTTCTCGACTTAGAAAGACTTTTAATCGGACAGTCTATATATATTCGGAATGAGCGTAAAACACTGCATCGAATGATGGGTAATTTGTTAGTCATTCTATAGAAAAAATGTGTTCACCTATATATAGTGCAAGGGGCCACTTCAGAGATTTGTCACCGAAAAAATGTTTTTTCAAATTTGACTTTTATCGGATCACATTGACATCTGAGAGATAATAAAGCAATATTGAGCAAATATAAAGGCTTTCTAAGTTAAAAAAACACATGCAAAAATGCCCACTGTGCGTCAGGTGGTTTCCTTCGAGAAAGACAGAGTTAAGGCACAACAAGCAACACTCATTCTGTCATAGCTAGAAAAGAAAATCAGAATGCTAAGCAG